CCCCAAAACCCCAAAACCCCAAAACCCCATATGCCTTAATTTGAATAGAGAATCGGTATAACAAATAACTAAAGTGATTAAAACTCAAGTGCTAATTAAGTTAGATATGTCTTTGGATTAATTGATAAAATACTCAACAGTAACAGCTATTTTCAATGTTTAGTCAGGATAAGTACAAGAGCACCGATGATACAAACAACCATGCCAATTAATCCGAGCAGGGCTGGGTAAATTTGCAAAAATACAATTTCTAAAATCAATTAAAAGGGAGCTTAAACTTAAATAATCGCTTGAGAACTACCACCTTTTCCGTATGTTAGGGCTCCATTGAAGCACAATACTCCAATTAGATACATTAATGATCCAGAAGTTACAAGGTAGAATTCTCTTAGTGAGTAAGGAGAAATATATATGTGTTGATAGATAGCTATTGAAACATATAAAGTTGACACAATTGATTAAGAATCAGCTGTGTATTGATAGGTGTTCATTTTGGTACCCCTTAAAAATCTTGCAGCTGCACTGTTCAATACAAAAATAAAGCAATTAGTAAGAGCTAGAGCGATTGGTACAAGAACACTGATTTGATTATCAGCTGTAATACTATGCTTCACAGCTGCTTCTTGAGTAGGAATATATTTGCCATTGGCCATTAGTACTACGCTTATCATTACTATCATTATACCAGCAACATGTTTCTAGCCAAGAGTTTCTTTAAATATAAAGTAGAAGGCAATAGCCGTCATAACTGAGGTAGCTCCATATATTGAGAATATGATAGATGAGTTGATCCCTGACAAGATTGAAGTCTCAAAGATGTAGTAGAGTATCAGAGTAGATAGTATTTGATTTAATGATCTCCCAATAACAATCAAGGCCAATTTCAAGTCAAATTTCTTCTCATTGTTGTAATAAAGAGAATCTTCACTGGACCAAAACACTCCCTTGCTCATCTTTAGTTATATCGCAAAGTAGGCATGATAAACAATGAAGAAGACAAAGTTCATACTAGGAATAAGGTATGCTAACCTCATTTCCATTGCTCCATCTACAGCCAAATACAATAAATAGTTTTGTAGTCCAAAAAATATTCCAGCCATTGCTCCACCAAAGAGATAGTATTTAGTAAAGAATTGAGCAACTTTCGATAGCTTTTTCTAACTCTTAGATTTTGAGCTTATGAGGCTTTAGTCATTAGAGGCTAATAGAGGTTCTTTTAAATCTTTGGTAGTGTCAAATGTTTAATAGGATGAGGACATTATAAGCAGATAATTTAAATTCTTTGATTAAAATTTTACTTTCCAATTAATTAATCAACTAGCTAATTTTAATTAAAGCATAATCATCAAATTCACTATTTTTAATAGAAATGAATGTGACGGGGTTTTGGGGTTTTGGGGTTTTGGGG